AGTATTGTGAATTCCCATCTGATTACTTGTGTTGCTATTATGTACATTTTGGATACATTCCATTACTTTTATACTCAGAAACAGGAACGACTTACTAGCGTTGACACATTTTACTTATGTACTTGCCAGAGGCTCAATTAAATTTATTGTACAATATTAAATTCTAATTTAATTTTTGTTTTGGTTTATATTTATAAATTATACACGTCTCTCCCTCTTGTCATCTTGGGCTGAGCTCTCCTAATTAAGCCACCAATTAAGATCGATGTATGATAACCACTTTATTTCGCTTCATCGTGTGTTACATCAAACATTGGCTACATCGGTTAAAGCCATCACGATGACCGTGCGTGAGTTATGATCATAGTTCAATTTTTTTTTGATTCGCTCCATAAACTTCATAAAGATTGTACTACGAATGTGACGAAAGGGCTGGTTCTTGAGTAAGCATGATGCATTTTTAATTGAGCGTAACGATAACGACAATAAAATTGAAATACCATCAACGATTTCCATCAACACGTAGGCCTAACGCCATCCTACAAAATCATTGGTGACATTTTAGTATGACATTAGCGTGCTGTTGACGAGGATGTTATCTCTTCTTGCAATAAAATGTGGAGTTTCGTGACGCAACACGAAATCTGCACGATACTTGATTTCATTATCGTGACTGATGGCCTAATACCAGTATAATTTCAAACTATCGGTCACATTTAAAGACCCAGTCAGGAGCAGTGGCGTAACAGCTATGACATCTCACTGGCTAAATACAAGGGCCCCGGGATATTTATCAGCATTTTCCCCACACATTGCCCGAGTGGGGTCCTTTTAAGGTGCACTAGCATAACTAAAATATCCATCAATACGTCCTTAAACGTCAAATACGCCGAAGCGAGTCGTGCTTTAGCCTTTTCCCACAGGGTAGTACGTCCCCGAAGAAGCCAGGGGCTTCTGACGTCTTTGTTGACGTGACTGCCCAGAAAGTGTTATAGTACAATATAACTTATCTGTTTAATCAAAGTGTTTAAGTATCGCATAAGACAACGCGCACCATGGCATCCAATCATATAAAATAGGGAAATAATTTATTTTAAAAAAAATATTTTCCCGATGCTCGAAAGCGCACTAATTTTAGTCTAAATGGAACAATATATTCATACATTTATTCACAAATTTCCAAATTATATAATACGTGACAAAACAAAACATACAAAACTGGACTAACTTTCGAAACATACGGGCTTCAAAGTTTTGAATAGACCTATGGAATAAGTGAGCCAGCAAGTTCCATGACGGCCGCTTTAAGTAATCTACGTAATCATTTTACTCTCGCGCTTCCTTCCGAAGAGATTGATACATTCTTAATCAGTTATAAAAACTAATCCGAATTATGATCATGTTCGCGAAGGGTAACGGGAAATGCCGACACGACCTATAACCTACTTTGTAGTTTCCAAAACTGCCGCTTGCTTTTTTTATCCAATGTTAACACCTACATCCGTCATTATGTACGTTGACAGGTGCATGTAACCGGGCAGACAATTGTCTTGAGCAACGTCAACATTAAGATGAAGTCGGCAATGATATTATTTTGTATACTCTTGGGAGATCCAGAGACCAGTCTCACATTCCTGTATGATACTACACCGCATAAAATATATTACTAAAATATGATATCATTATGCGAACTTATTTTACGCTTTACTTTATGATCCAATACGATGCAATTTCCCATTCTTGTTTAAGGCGTTGCTTTGTGTTATTCGTCTTTATTGGACTCAAATGAGAATGCATTATGAGTTCGAGAGGACATTCTCATGAACACACGGCGCTGTGATCTAAACGCAAGCATCTTAATATCGTGACAAATGTTCACAACACAACCGGTATATATTAGGCCAGTATTTTTGTTATTGTTAAACAGATAAGATAAATTTATTTGTCATATATATCATTTCTACAATTGACTATTAATTACATTTGAAATTAGCAAAAATATAAAATAGCAAAAGTAATTTGATAAGAAATAGATCAAGACACAATGGCAAAAAATATGTAAAAATAATAATTATTAAAAAAGGCCTATTTATATCGATATTCATATTAGGCATATTATCATAAACATATCAAAATAATACTAATATTGTATAATGCACATTGCAAAAACTGTCCAAGAATATTTTTATCTGATTATGCATTTTAATTGTAAATTAATTAATTAATTTTATTAACTTAAAAATTTATAAAAGGAAATAACTAAAACAAAATAATTACAATTTTAGTATTGATATCTAATAAAATAGTATTGGCCCATCAGCGTAATAGACAGAAGTTTCATAAACAAATATATTACAGATAAAGACGTTCTGTGGAAAACAAGTTCCGAGGGATTACCATTTACATTAAGGTACATTTTGTCCATCATACTGATTAGCAACATGACAAATTGAAATGAGAATAATGAAGACCATTCATTTAAACATCGATGCGAGTAATTCGTTTCAAAGAGTCTGATATTTGATTGATAGACCTCGTAAATCAGAGAAAAATACTTCAAGTAATGAAGTGTGACGTAAAGGAGTGTAAATGGATTCGAAATGGCGGAATAAATCCTTTATTTGAACTTGGGCATTGTTCTTTAGAATATTTAATCTGTAAATGTTTTAAAGATAGAAATATAGTTTAAAATGGTAGGGCTGGTTACTATTATATACAGTAGTAGGCCTATACAATACCGTCCAAATGTTAAGTTTGCGATATGAAAGTAAAGTACGCTAAAACTTAGAGCGTGTCTTTCCATCCTATTTATTATGGAACATCAAAAGGGCAACTTTTAAACACAGTTGCCGGCCCTGTTGGCGTTCCATAATAAGGTAAAACTGGAGGTACACGCTCTAGAAAATTTGAAGACACGGGGTACATCGAGTCCGACAGGGGGTCCGAATCAGGGGTCCTCTCTAGAACCTTAGTCAGGATCACGAAATAAAATCTCTCTCTATTGGGGTTCATGAGGAGAGATACTATGGTCTAAGTTCGCCCAACATTGTGCTTTTTAGACATCTGTAGGCCTATAACAATTGCTATCAAATTAACTTTAGTCCAACAAACTCATCGTAGGGGAGGAGGAAGAGTCCATGCTTGACCGAAAGGAGAAACTAACCCGTCCCCCATGGCCGCCCGCTAGTGCCGCCATTGCCTAAAGGCAAGTTTGATTTAAGGTATAGGCATATTGCATAATTGTTCAATTACAGGTAATTCATGCGAAACAGCATTACTCTTCGATACATTTACGCGACACAGAAATAATAAACAAATACTATTTAAAATTAACACGACTTTTACATAAAACACACATAATAATTCAGCAAATGTATCAATGTAGGTTTAAGTTGTTCATTCATTTGGACATTTTTTCTCCTTTTGTCTAATAAGAACCATTATTTCGAATTCTACTTTATTCACACGACGGAGCTAGCCAGAGCTAGCAAATACTAATGTCTCAATAAAATGATGTTAGTTATGGAAAGTGATAGAGTATACTGCACCTTATTCTTTTAACATAGGACTAAAGTTATATTCTGCGCTAAAACTTTCTAAGCATTACTATTATCATTACACTATTATTGATTTGTGGATGTTCGAAGCAGAGTTGAATAGCTTCGTAGTTAAGATGCTTACCGTACCTTCTAATTCCAGAGTCCTGGGCCGATCCCTATCATGGTATAGGATTTCTTTTTACAATGAGAAACAACGCCAATGGCGGATTAAAGGGGGGAGGGGAGCCAGCCTGCCCCCACCTAAATTATTCAAAAATGTAGGATGGGGGGGGGACAGGCTGAGGTAGTGTGAAAGTCTCTCCTATGGCCCCTCTATTTCTAATTTCTGGATCCGCCACTGAACGGCCAGTGACGGCGCCAGCGTCTGAAGTCTGGGAGTGGGGTGAAGCCTTCGAAAAAATACAATTTTGGGGTTTCAGAGGATAGATAGTTTACTAATATGTAGGAAATATATATCATTTCTTTTTCTCCCTGTTTTTTTATTTTCTTTTTTTGAGTGGAGGAAACTGGTGGGTGGGGTAAGGAGAGAAAATTATCTGAGAGAAATTCCTCCACCCCCGTGCCATGGCTCCGCCTCTCTGAACGACACACCTTAAGCCTCATCTAGACAGTTTATATAGAGCATCATGTGCATATAGTTGTCTGGTATTACCTAAAAAATGTGTGTCAATAAACATAACTATTTCTACTGCTTTTTAAGTTACACTTGACATAGACTTACATGTGTGTAGCCGTCGTGGTTGTTTTAATTCGGAGCAACTTACCATTATAACTTACTGTATTATTTTGAAGCAAGACATTTATTTAATCAAATAAATCATTGTTGTCATGTAAATCATGTATACTGTATTAATTGTTGCTGTCAGGTCATGGAGTAACGAGTTATACTCCACGGTCAGGTACGGTATAGGTCGTGTATTCTGCCTGGCTGTTGAATTTTGTTTTTTTATTTCGGGTCTTCTTGCTTTTAATTCTTCATTTAGGGTAGGTCATCATGTCTTTCGGAACATGAAATAGGCACATGGAAAAGTATGATTTGTTCTTCTGAACCTCAGGAATTAACCGGTGACACATATTATCACATTATCAATAATTTCATAATATTTGAGTAGGCTGTATAATATTAAATTGAATTGAATTGAATTGAATTTATCTGATTTCTCTCTATATACAATACATAAAATACATAGAAAAAACAAGTCATTTTAAAACCAAATAAAAACAAGATAAATATACATGATACAAAAAGAGAAAAATCTGGATAACCCATTAAACCATAGTTTTTTTCCGATAGGGTCCCCAACAAACATAACGACAGGGGAAAAATGAATATCTAAATCATAATTTATATGAATATCTGAATCATAAAAATATGAATGTCTGAATCATAATTTACGATGTTCGTCTTATTTATTGACTATATTATTATTTCATCTGCAGACATAAGCCGGCATCTCCATAGCTTGATGGCCTTTCGACGATGGAACAACAAACGGAACCTTCGCCGTTCACCTAATTAGAAAGTCGTTGAAAACATGACCGGCAATTGACTTAATAGTTCTTAACGAACTCCAAATAACCGTCGGTATAATCATTCAATCAGCGTATTGATTAATTTACTGGCTCCTTTATCAGCTGGCTACTAATAGGATCACATGTTCGCTTCAACCCTCTGGAGACCACCAACTCCAACTGTACTGCCGTGGAGATTATATTCATTTGGTCAGGCCTATATAAGAAGGAATAAATCTGTATCTCCATGATGTTTAAAACGCCGTTTGTTTTTGCGCTTTAGCCGATAAAAAATATAAGGATCTGTGGTTGTGAACTTTAATACGCTCGCCATACCCTCCAGAGATAACGGAAACAATTTAACCTCTTGTACGGACAGGTTAACCTCCGTTTGATCTTTGTAAGTGACCAGGTGCATGACTTGTACGACCAGGTGTATACCTCGTACGACCAGGTGTAGGCTACTACGACAAGAAGTGCACCCTTGTACGACCAGGTGTAGGTCTTACGACCAGGCCTTTGCATGACCAGGTGTAGACCCACGTATGATGTTGACCACTGAGGTGGACTGGTCTTGCGAAAATACAAGTGTCGGAAATGGCACAGACGACTCAAACGAGGATGAAAAATTTACACTGGCTGCAACGATAACAATGTTGCTAGTTTTGGGCACCATTGTTCTAGCCTCCATTATCGGCAACATTCTCGTCTGTCTGGCGGTTGCCACCTACCCAAAGTTACGCAAAACTGCAAACAGCTTTATTGTATCGCTAGCTATGGCGGATCTTCTCGTGTCTATTCTCGTCATGACTTTCGCAATATCCAATGACATTCGTGGTTATTGGTCGTTCGGTAAATCATTTTGTACTATTTGGATATCATTCGATGTGATGTTTTCAACGGCGTCTATTTTTAATTTATGTGCAATAAGTGTGGATAGATACATGCATATCAAGAAACCGTTACATTATTATCAATGGATGACGCCAACCAGGGCACTCGTAACTATTATGTTCGTTTGGATCATGTCGGCTTTAGTGTCGTTTATGCCGATACAACTCGGTTGGCACGAAGGTAATTCAGGTGACGCGTTACCAATGAATGTTACTGACGCGTTACTAAACGATGACGCAGACGACAAATTACTGATTTGTACTTTGGAAGACATTAATCTGATTTATGCAACACTCTCGTCATTCGTTAGTTTTGTCCTTCCCTGTTTAGTTATGACGTCAATATATTCAAGGATTTTTGTAGCTGTGCGGGAGCACGTGCGCAACGCTAAACAAGGCCGCATTGGCAACTACGATTCCAGAGAATCGGGCTTCCATTCTCCAAATGCGGTACGCGATCATAAAGCCGCAGTGACGCTTGGCATTATAATGGGTGTGTTTTTGTTTTGCTGGGTACCATTTTTTACCGTGAACGTTGTTTCTTCGTTTTGTCCGGATTGCTCTTCGCCAATGTTGTTCAGTGTTTTAACGTGGCTCGGTTACTGCAACTCAACGCTAAACCCTCTTATTTATGGCATATTTAACAAAGATTTCAGATTCGCATTTAAAAGTATATTACGTTTGGAATGCTTGAGCGCAAGGCACAAGCGCAATCAAACTTTCGTAACGATGGCGGGTCCCATCGGGTCGAGAAAAAATTGCTCGGGAAATATACCCCTCAAGAAAAACTTGAGTAACTCTGCTTCCCAACCACTTATAGCGAGAAATGAGAAGCCTATGTTGAATGGAAATGGAGATAAATTTAAAGAGGATGATTTATATAGTACTCAGGAATCACCAATGGTTATTCTTGAGCGCATCACAACTATATAGCCTAATGATCAGCGCGGCCAAATGCAAATACAGTAATGTAAATATCATCGGTTGTGCTTTTATCACCAAAATCGTATTATGTACGGTTTCTATAAAAACTTACATACTTAGGCCTATTAGTGGCAATCCTCAAGCTATCAGCAACCAAAATATTTTAAAGCGATTATCTCGCATTGTGACGTTTGTAGTGATGCGTGCGTTTACTGCTTCTCTGAGTATAATACGTAGCCTAGCTAAGTGTTCAGTCATAGCCAATGGAAGGATGACAAGATCTGGTTGTTCAGGTTTCAAGGGGCATAATATGGATGATTTATTTAAATGCTGGCTAACCAACCAACCAACCAATCAAGGATCAACATTGGATAATTGTTACGTAATCTAACGATATTGGACATTACATAATCATTACATTCCACATCTAAAATGAATTATACTAAGCGCAGTCAATGTCATCATTATCCGCCGCCGGCCACAATTTGATTTTAAACGGTGTCATTTAAAGAAACAATCTATTTAATGGTTTTAGGTAATATTAATGTTGGTTGTCACTTGCGAGCCGTACTTTCGTTTCTGCCAAGTATGTTAATAATAAGTTCAAACTGTTATAATGATCCATTATGAATTAAATATAATATATTATAATATTTCATGTAGTACAAGTTACAAAAATACCAAATGTTATCGATTAAATTTAAACATTTTGTAATCAATTTGAAATACACATCCCTATCGACTAAAATATTGAATGCGGCTCACGACTTTCCAGGTCGTATTGGCTGAAATCTTTAAATAATTAATCACTTTAAAGTGGCACTGTACATGTGGAATACAAATTTCTCCATCTTGTCATAGGCTGTCTTGCTGGAACACGTACTCTCATTTCGGTACGCATTCGCAATGGCTTGTTCACACTAGAGAAATTTAGACGCGCTAACGCGCGCAAACGCAAGTAAAGTACTGTCCACACTATTAAATTTCATGTGACAAATCTGTATGATATACCCATATATGGGCATGAAGATGTTATAGTACACCTAAATATGTGAGAATGACATTTATTTGTCACATGGAACTTGATAGTATGAACCAAAGCTTGCTATTAGGCGAGGTAAGCGTTACATGTGTTTGCGGTAACGCGTTGATGGTTAAATCAAGCTTAGCAGATCGAAGCTATTACGGGGCGAGTGTAACAGCAGTTTGTGCGTATAATTGATACTTACACAGGGTATATACTGTCTCTTATACACATCTAGATGTGTATAAGAGACAGGCAATGAGGTAAGCAAGCTTCTCTCAATTTGCTGCTATTAAACACTTTAACATTGGGTATTATTATCTTTATTTTCTCTGCATAATTGTATGTGGTGTGTCCTTTGATAAGTGTCACGTCATTATTACTATTTATCTTATTATTACCAGTTATATATTTCTTATTTCTTGAATAGAAACTGCATTAAAAAACAATTTACAAAGAAAAATAATATTTCATGTATATCAATATGTTATATACAAAGTTAAGATTATTTTCATTGCTTGTTAGGGGAAACTAATAATATTTCATTGTTTTATGATTTCGAAAACATTAAATTAATCCTGTATTGAATGTTTCCAATTACAGGCGTTCCACACTTCTGCGCAAGTTCTCAATGCTGCTTCCAATATGATTCTCAAGTCTGTTACAAATGCAAGTTACAGCATCAAGACCTACAACTACCCACTCCCTAAAAGTGCAAAAACTCTGGTAATAATTTTATTATTATTGTTATTTCATGGCTTTTTACATGTTTTACTGATTATATTATAGTTTCTGATCTTTGAAAATTCAAAAGTGAAAATATAATTAATTTGGATCATATCGGCTATAAAATGTAAACATAACGACGTTTTTCCTATTTTGTCTTATTGTTATCTTTTACCATGTCATCTAAAGAGTGAATTATGATAGACACTGTTTAAGACCGATACAGGTCAAAAAGTAATGCAATGGAAAAGTGACAGAATAATGAGGCAAAATTAGCGAATTGTTCATTTTGTAATAAAACCAGTGTTCTCATACGGTAAAATATTAACCTTTGTAAATAATGGGTTTATCACATTATTCTGTATATCAAATACCTCATATTTTCTACTGTATTAAATTATGATAGATTTTCAAACCGTTGTCAAAGAGATATGTTACATACATATTACTTAGGCCTATATACATGACCATACTTTACTGTAATTTTGGCACAATACTATATTTAGCCATATTTTTAATTATTTTACATTATATACCGTACTGTCTGAAAAAAAATTACTACCCAACAATTTTGGATCTATATTTTACTGTATGATAATATCCTCTTGTAAAAACGTGTAATATATTTTTATTTGATATTATAAGGAATGTAATATCGTCAAATAAAAATGATGATAACCCAGTGTCGAAAGAAAGAGAAAAAAATGTGAATGTAAAAATTTGGACAAGGGTTTAATCATAGATAATAATATTTGTCAAATTTAACGTAAATCCAGATACTTTACAATTTAAAAGCAATACATGGCTGTTATAGTGAGGTAGAGAGGTCCAAGTTTGCAGTAATCAGCCTATCACTACTCCATTGTGGGCGTACGTGCACCTCGCCCCCTCCCCCACCGCCCCATTGGATCCGCCACTTAACTTTATAGTAACTTCTGAAAACCGTCTTACATCTTACATTACGTTAGATATAATATCTGACAACATAAAATAATAAGAGGAAAGTAAAATATTATTAAAGGGTACAATGTTTTACCTTCTCTATCTCTTTTACAACTATGTAAAACCCGAACGTGAGGCACAAGTAACGGGTGTTGTCGGGTAACAAACATAGTGTTAGGTCAATGTCTTACAGGGGAGGATGCGATCAATATTTTTACAGTAAAATTCATCTCATACAAGCATTGTGACGTATTCTGTCAAGAAATTTAGCGGCACATCTCCTCTAAACACTATCCCGAAAGAGATTGTTGAAAATTATAACATATTTTATATTACTGTATATTTTAAAAAATCAATCCACTTAATTAACTCAATTATCTTTGTAATAGTTTTGGATTATGTCATGAAACCGTTTTAAATGAAGAATGGGACATACTGTATTGATTTTATGATAATAAAAATATATCTATGAAAATGTATCTGCGTTTTATTTGATTGCTTCCAGAGTTAAGGATAATAAAGTGTTGTACCAATTTGATCGCCTTGAGCACTTTAGCCGATGGGACGATATATAGTAAGCTAGAATTACCGGTATACATTCCAGGGTTTATGGATACAAATCCCAGCCATTTTATAGATTTCTTTCTCATGATCCAATAATACAGCGAAATCTTGTAACGAGGATCGGATGACAAAACAACAGATAGTTTTCATCCATTTGACTAATTGATAGCTGCAGCGCAGATGGTTAAAATCTGGGGGTAACCACTCTGTCAGTACTTCTTCGATACGCCAACATGGATATGTTTTGTGGCACAGTGATTCTATTCCATCCAGCAGTGAAATGATGATTGATTAATGCACCGTCTTTCGAAAGGGACTTAAAGACATTGCTATTGTTTACAAAAATGCACGTTAAATTTAAAGACTTACAGTGGAGTATTTAGGTGTATTGACGGAGGGTGTGGGGTGATATTTATGATGGGGACACGAGGTTATATGGGGACTCGATGATTAGGTGAGGGGCACGAGCTAGCAAATAATGGGGTGCAACCTTTTCGGAGGCCTGGTTGAATGTCATTACAAACACGGTTGTTCAATTCAATTTATTTCAAAACGTTTATTTAGGAAACATGTCCATAATTTCATAACTACATAAATCACAATGACTATTACAATTAAATCCTTCGGGTTTTTTTTTTCTAAAACTTGTTTTGATTTTGTTTGTTTACGACAATTTGAATCCATTGTCATACGACTGTCCCCCAGGTTGGTAATCCTTACTCTTAACAAACAGAGTCCAACACTTTAGTTGGTCTACAGCTGTATTTTATTAGATATATCGCTATCTACAGCGGAGCAATTTAGCCTATATTCGTTCACAAGCAAAAATCTGAACTAGAACTAACTATATCTTAAAACTACATTCATTATAAACATTTAATTATCAGGGTGAATTAGTCATGTGTCCTGATGGGGTAATATTTCATCTTGAGGAAGGCATTAACAGTTTCTATAGTGGACATTCCTTAAAGATGCTGGCTACTGAATATGAGTACTGAACGTGAGTTGGGTCCAGACAATCGCTTAAGTCTAATAAATTGTTAGGTATATTTCCTGTTACTATTTGCTGAGTATTTGGGCTTCATCACATCCATTATAAAACATTTTAATTCCTATGTGATTTACCTTTCTATGAAGGAAACATAGATCTTTTTTTTTCGTTTGACAAAGCTGAACTGGGCCTAATTGTTTTAATACAATTGTAAAAAAAGTTCCACGTTTTACTAAATTTATCTGTTTGAAATATAATATCGTGTGGTCGTAAGTGAAGCCTGTAGGTCTATCATGTAGGCCTATGTTACTATAACATTACGTGACATAATACATTGGACTGGTATAAAGTACAAGTAGTAGGCTATGTTTTCATGTTCTGAAGTGTCTTGGGGCTTTTCTTCGTATCAGGAATGCGTGCTTGGCAACCTTTTTCTCTTACATGGATGTGAGTTCAATGAAACCTATAGGCCAAGAGACCCTGTAAGGTTATATGTATACCTCTGGCTTCACAAATGTCTCTTTAATTTACGCTTCAGAACTGCCAATTTTGACTTCTGTAAAATAGCCTACACTAGAAATGTGTGAACTTTTCATCTTGATTTTCCAGTTGACGATGATTAATTACAGACACTGCAGAAGGTTTACAAGATTAGTTGAATAGGATTCACACTTACTTGTCTATCGAGTCATGACAATTGCGAATCTTACTAAGCATCGAAGAATATGATTATGTTGAGATCAAAAGTAAAACTATTTAAAAACAACATTGCTTTAGAACAGTGCTATACTTCTATAACTCTATAGGCCCTGCCTTCCCCCTCCTCTTTTTCTTCTTCCTCCTCATGATGCTGGTGATGCTACACTACTACTACTACTACTACTACTACTACTACTACTACTACTACTACTACTACTACTACTACTACTACTACTACTACTACTACTACTACTACTACTACTACTACTACTAAGCCTACTATTACAAATATTAGGTAAATTAATTTTTTTATTGTAATTGTGCTATATATATATGATATATAATATATATATATATATATATACATACATGTATATACATACATACATACATACATTAACTTTACATATACTTGTTTAGTATATCAAATAATAAAATGCTACATTTTTGTCAGGGGATTTACCAATCATTAGGACATATGTTAACATTATAATAGACGTGATAAGATCCGCATCTAAACAGCTGAACATTACGTCAGTGTTTGGAGATGCGTGAGCAATGACCGGACGTTTACTTTAAAAATCACGTATTGTTGTGCTACTCTTCCTCCGTGCTTATGACTGGGATTACTTGCGCTCAGGTTATTTAAGCGATGATTTAACTTTTAAATAATAATTATCTGATGGACAATACACTTTCACTCAGCATTACTCAGACGCAAGTCGAATTCCTGAAGAACAGGACACTGCAAGAGGCCAGGGACGTATTCAGGGGGGAGCCGTGGGAGCCGCGGCTTCCCCTTCGAACACAGTGTTAAAATAAAGCTTGTTTATGCTAGCCAATACAAATTCTTTCCTGGGATCACTCAAAATTATTGATTGACTGATTGATTGATTGATTGATTGATTGATTGATTGATTGATAACCTTTAAGATAAGCAACACAATATTTATGTTTGAATTTGAAGATGGAAGGTCCGACGTTTAAATGCAAGTTTTTAAGCAGTTTAATGTTGATATTCATTCTACCAACTCAGATAATAAATATCACATACAAAAAAAAACAAAAAAACAGCATCACATTGTATTATAAATCAATTTGCCTTCTTAATCTTAGACCTTTCTATATACAAACAGAACTCTCATGAGAAATAACAATTTCTTCAGAAACACTAAACTATTATACATAATAGGCCTAATAAATACCGAACATAATTCTACGTTTACATAAGAGAACTAAAAAAACGTTATATCTTGAACATGACCAACAATGTATTTATTTTACGC